TGTTGAGGTGTTATGCAGAGGTGTGGTTGATTCATCAGCTATTGTTGACGTTGGTGCAACAGTGTTTGTGGAATCCAAAGTTGTTCTTGCATCAGAAGTTGTAGTGGTGTCAGACAGAGTTGTTGTTTCTGCGTTAGTTGTTGTTGACATTTGTGCCACAGTTGAAGCTGTTGAAAGTGTGGCTGTGGTAGCTAAAGTTGTTGTTGCATCAATAGTTGTTGAAAACTCAGGCATAGTTGATGTAATTCCATCATTTGTTTGTTGTTGCATCAGTAATTGTTTTGGTGTCAGGCATTCTTGCGGATGCTGCATCTGATGTTGTTGACACTGGTGTTAGAGTTGAGGATGTTTGAGGGGTGGTTGTGGAAGTCAAAGCTGTTTTTGCATCAGTAGTTGTTGTGCTGTCAGACAGAGCTGTGGTTGATGCATAAATTGTTGACACTGATTCTATAATTGAGGATGTTGAAAGGGTGGTTGTGATAGCTAATACTGTTGTTGCATCGATACTTGTTGTGGTGTCAGGCACAGTTGTGGTTGCTGCCTCAGTTATTGACACTGGTGCTACTGTTGAGGATGTTGTAGAAGTGATTGTGGAAGCCAAAGTTTTTGTTGCATCAGGAGTTGTTGTGGTTCCAGAGAGAGTTGTTGTTGCTGCATCAGTTGTTGTTGACATTGGTGCCACAGTTGAAGATGTTGAAAGGGTGGTTGAGGTGGATAACGTTGCTGTTGCTTCAATACTTGTTGTGGTGTCTGGCATAGCTGTGGTTGCTGCATCAGTTGACGTCGATGTTGGTGCTATAGTTGAGGATGTTAGTTGGGTGGTTGTGGAAGCCAAAGTTGTTACATCGGTAGTTTTTGTGCTGTCAGGCAGTGTTGTCGTTGGTGCATCAGATGTTGTTGACGTTGGTGCTACGGTCGACGATGTTGGAGGGATGGTTGTGGAAGCCAAAGTTGTTGTTGCATCAGTAGTAGTTGTGGTGTCAGGCAGATTTGTGGTTGATTCATCGGCTGTTGTTAACGTTTGTGCTACAGTCGAAGATGTGGGAGGGGTGGTTGTGGAAGTCAAAATTGTAGCATCAGTAGTTTTTGTGGTGTCAGACAGAGTTTTGGTTGCTGCATCAGTTGTTGAAATTAGTACAATACTTGAGGATATTAAAACAGTGTTTGTCAAAGCCAAAGATGCAGTTGTATCAATAGTTGTTGTGGTGTCAGGTATAGTTGTGGTTGCTGCATCAGTTGTTGACATTGGTGCTATAGTTGAAGATTTTGGAGGGGTGGTTGTGGAATCAAAAATTGTTGCATCAATAGTTATTTTGGTGTCAGACAGAGTTGTAGTTGCTGCATCAGATATTGTTGCCGTTAGTGCAACAGTGTTTGTGGAATCCAAAGTTGTTGTTGCATCAGTAGTTGTTGTGGTGTCATGCAGAGTTGTGGTTGATTCATCAGCTATTGTTGACGTTAGTGCAACAGTGTTTGTGGAATCCAAAGTTGTTGTTTCATCAGTAGTTGTAGTGGTGTCAGACAGAGTTGTGGTTGATACATCAGTTGTTGTTGACGCTGGTGCTATAGTTGAGGATGTCGGGGTACTGGTTGTGGAAGCCAAAATTGTTGTTGCGTAAATAGCTTTTATGGTGTCGGGCATAGTTGTGGTTGCTCCATCAGATGTTGACGCTGGAGGGGTGGGTGTAGAAGTCAAAGTTGTTGTTGATGCATCTGTAGTTGTTGTGGTATCAGGCATTGATGTGGTTGCTGCAACAGTTGTTGACATTGGAGATGTGGTTGTAAGAGCCAAAGTTTTTGTTACATCAGATGTTTTTGTGGTGTCAGACAGAGTTGTTGTTTCTGCGTTTTTTCTTGTTGACATTTGTGCCACAGTTGAAGCTGTTGAAAGTGTGGTTGTCGTAGATAAAGTTGCTGATGCATCAATAGTTGTTGTAAATTCAGGCATAGTTGATGTAATTCCATCATTTGTCAACACTGATACTGTAGCTGAGGATGTTGGAGGGATGGTTGTGGAATCCAAAGTTGCCGTTGCATCAGTAGTAGTTGTGGTGTCAGGCAGAGTTGTGGTTGCTGCATCAGTTGTTGACATTAGAGGGGTGGTTGTGGAATCCAAAGTTGTTGTTGCATCAGTAGTTGTTGTGGTGTCAGGCAGAGTTGTGGTTGCTGCATCAGTTGTTGACATTAGAGGGGTGGTTGTGGAATCCAAAGTTGTTGTTGCATCAGTAGTTGTTGTGGTGTCAGGCAGAGTTGTGGTTGCTGCATCAGTTGTTGACATTAGAGGGGTGGTTGTGGAATCCAAAGTTGTTGTTGCATCAGTAGTTGTTGTGGTGTCAGGCAGAGTTGTGGTTGCTGCATCAGTTGTTGACATTAGAGGGGTGGTTGTGGAATCCAAAGTTGTTGTTGCATCAGTAGTTGTTGTGGTGTCAGGCAGAGTTGTGGTTGCTGCATCAGTTGTTGACATTAGAGGGGTGGTTGTGGAATCCAAAGTTGTTGTTGCATCAGTAGTTGTTGTGGTGTCAGGCAGAGTTGTGGTTGCTGCATCAGTTGTTGACATTAGAGGGGTGGTTGTGGAATCCAAAGTTGTTGTTGCATCAGTAGTTGTTGTGGTGTCAGTCAGAGTTATGGTTGATTCATCAGCTATTGTTGACGTTGGTCCAACAGTGTTTGTGGAAGTCAAAATTATAGCATCACTAGTTTTTGTGGTGTCAGACAGAGTTGTAGTTGCTGGATCAGTTGTTAAAATTGGTGCAATACTTGAGGATATTGAAACAGTTTTTGTGAAACCTAAAGTTGTATTTGCATCAATAGTTGTTGTGCTGCCAGGTTTAGTTGTGGTTGCTGCATCAGTTGTTGACGTTGGTGCTATAGTTGAGGATTTTGGAGGGGTGGTTAAGGAAGTCAAAATTGTTGCATCAGTAGTTGTTGTGGTGTCAGACAGAGTTGTGGTTGATGCATCAGTTGTTGACATTAGAGGGGTGGTTGTGGAATCCAAAGTTGTTGTTGCATCAGTAGTTGTACTGGTGTCAGACAGAGTTGTGGTTAATACATCAGTTGTTGTTGACACTTGTGATATATTTGAGGATGTAGGGGTGCTGATTGTGGAAGCCAAAATTGTTTTTGCGTAAATAGCTTTTGTGGTGTCGGGCATAGTTGTGGTTGCTCCATCAGATGTTGACGCTGGAGGGGTGGTTGTGGAAGTCAGATTTGTTGTTGTTGCATCAATATTTGTTGTGGTGTCAGGTATAGTTGTGGTTGATGCATCAGTGGTTGACATTGGAGGGGTGGTTGTGGAATCCAAAGTTGTTGTTGCCTCAGTAGTTGTTGTGGTGTCAGACAGATTTGTAGTTGCTGCATAAGATATTGTTGCCGCTGGTGCCACAGTTGAGGGTGTTGGAAAGGTGGTTGAGGTAGCCAAAGATGTTGTTGCATCAGTAGTTGTTGTGGTGTCAGAAAGAGTTGTGGTTGCTGAATCAGTTGTTGATGTTGGTGCTATAGATGAGGATTTTGGAGAGGTGGTTGAGGAAGTCAAAATTGTTGCATCAGTACTTGTTGTGGAGTCAGGTATAGTTGTGGTTGCTGCATCAGTTGTTGACATTTCTGCTGTAGTTGAGGATTTTGGAGGTGTAGTTGTAGAAGCCAAAATTGTTGCATCAGTAGTTGTTGTGGTGTCAGACAGAGTTGTGGTTGATGCATCAGTGGTTGACATTAGAGGGGTGGTTGTGGAAGCCACAGTTGTTGTTGCATCAGTAGTTGTAGTGGTGTCAGACAGAGTTGTGGTTGCTGCATCAGATATTGTTGCCGTTGGTGCCACAGTTGAGGATGTTGTAAAGGTGGTTGTGGTTGCCAAAGATGTTGTTGCATCAGTAGTTGTTGTGCTGTCAGGCAGAGTTGTGGTTGATTTATCAGGTGTTGTTGACGTTGGAGCTACAGTCGAAGATGTTGGAGGGGTGGTTGTGGAAGTCAAAATTGTAGCATTAGTAGTTTTTGTGGTATCAGACAGAGTTGTGGTTGCTGCATCAGTTGTTGACATTGGTGCAATACTAGAGGATGTTGGAGCGGTGGTTGTGAGAGCCAAAGTTGTTGTTGTATCAATAGTTTTTGTGGTGTCAGGCATAGTTGTGGTTGCTGCTTTAGTTGTTGATGCTGGTGCTATAGTTGTCGATGTCAGAGGTGTGGTTGTCGAAGCCAAAATTGATGTTGCATCTGTTGTTGTTGTTGTGGTGTCAGACAAAGTTGTGGTTGATGCATCAGTGGTTGACATTAGAGGGGTGGTTGTGGAATCCAAAGTTGTTGTTGCATCAGTAGTTGTTGTGGTGTCAGACAGAGTTGTTTTTGATGCATCAGTTGTTGTTGACACTGGTGCTATTGTTGAGGGTGTTGGAGGGGTGGTAGTGGTAGCTAAAGTTGTTGTTGCATCAATAGTTTTTGTGGTGTCAGACATAGTTGTGGTTGTTGCTTCAGTTGTTGACATTGGTGCAATACTAGAGGATGTTGGAGCGGTGGTTGTGAGAGCCAAAGTTGTTGTTGTATCAATAGTTTTTGTGGTGTCAGGCATAGTTGTGGTTGCTGCTTTAGTTGTTGATGCTGGTGCTATAGTTGTCGATGTCAGAGGTGTGGTTGTCGAAGCCAAAATTGATGTTGCATCTGTTATTGTTGTGGTGTCAGACAAAGTTGTGGTTGACGCATCAGTGGTTGACATTAGAGGGATGGTTGTGGAATCCAAAGTTGGATGATGGTGCTATAGTTGTCAATGTCAGAGGTGTGCTTGTGGAAGCCAAAATTGTTGTTGCATCAGTTGTTGTTGTTGTGGTGTCAGACAGAGTTGTTTTTGATGCATCAGTTGTTGTTGACACTGGTGCTATTGTTGAGGGTGTTGGAGGGGTGGTAGTGGTAGCTAAACTTGTTGTTGCATCAATAGTTTTTGTGGTGTCAGACATAGTTGTGGTTGTTGCTTCAGTTGTTGACATTGGTGCAATACTAGAGGATGTTGGAGCGTTGGATGTGAGAGCCAAATTTGTTGTTGTATCAATAGTTGTTGTGGTGTCAGGCATAGTTAAGTTTGCTGCATCAGATGTTGATGATGGTGCTATAGTTGTCAATGTCAGAGGTGTGCTTGTGGAAGCCAAAATTGTTATTGCATCAGTTGTTGTTGTTGTGGTGTCAGACAAAGTTGTGGTTGATTTATCAGCTGTTGTTGACGTTGGAGCTACATTCGAAGATGTTGGAGGGGTGGTTGTGGAAGTCAAAATTGTAGCATTAGTAGTTTTTGTGGTATCAGACAGAGTTGTGGTTGCTGCATCAGTTGTTGACATTGGTGCAATACTAGAGGATGTTGGAGCGGTGGTTGTGAGAGCCAAAGTTGTTGTTGTATCAATAGTTTTTGTGGTGTCAGGCATAGTTGTGGTTGCTGCTTTAGTTGTTGATGCTGGTGCTATAGTTGTCGATGTCAGAGGTGTGGTTGTCGAAGCCAAAATTGATGTTGCATCTGTTGTTGTTGTTGTGGTGTCAGACAAAGTTGTGGTTGATGCATCAGTGGTTGACATTAGAGGGGTGGTTGTGGAATCCAAAGTTGTTGTTGCATCAGTAGTTGTTGTGGTGTCAGACAGAGTTGTTTTTGATGCATCAGTTGTTGTTGACACTGGTGCTATTGTTGAGGGTGTTGGAGGGGTGGTAGTGGTAGCTAAAGTTGTTGTTGCATCAATAGTTTTTGTGGTGTCAGACATAGTTGTGGTTGTTGCTTCAGTTGTTGACATTGGTGCAATACTAGAGGATGTTGGAGCGTTGGATGTGAGAGCCAAATTTGTTGTTGTATCAATAGTTGTTGTGGTGTCAGGCATAGTTAAGTTTGCTGCATCAGATGTTGATGATGGTGCTATAGTTGTCAATGTCAGAGGTGTGCTTGTGGAAGCCAAAATTGTTGTTGCATCAGTTGTTGTTGTTGTGGTGTCAGACAGAGTTGTTTTTGATGCATCAGTTGTTGTTGACACTGGTGCTATTGTTGAGGGTGTTGGAGGGGTGGTAGTGGTAGCTAAAGTTGTTGTTGCATCAATAGTTTTTGTGGTGTCAGACATAGTTGTGGTTGTTGCTTCAGTTGTTGACATTGGTGCAATACTAGAGGATGTTGGAGCGGTGGATGTGAGAGCCAAATTTGTTGTTGTATCAATATTTGTTGCGGTGTCAGGCATAGTTAAGGTTGCTGCATCAGATGTTGATGCTGGTGCTATAGTTGTCAATGTCAGAGGTGTGCTTGTGGAAGCCAAAATTGTTGTTGCATCAATAGTTTTTGTGGTGTCAGACATAGTTGTGGTTGCTGCTTCAGTTGTTGACATTGGTGCAATACTAGAGGATGTTGGAGCGTTGGATGTGAGAGCCAAATTTGTTGTTGTATCAATAGTTGTTGTGGTGTCAGGCATAGTTAAGTTTGCTGCATCAGATGTTGATGATGGTGCTATAGTTGTCAATGTCAGAGGTGTGCTTGTGGAAGCCAAAATTGTTATTGCATCAGTTGTTGTTGTTGTGGTGTCAGACAAAGTTGTGGTTGATTTATCAGCTGTTGTTGACGTTGGAGCTACATTCGAAGATGTTGGAGGGGTGGTTGTGGAAGTCAAAATTGTAGCATTAGTAGTTTTTGTGGTATCAGACAGAGTTGTGGTTGCTGCATCATTTGTTGACATTGGTGCAATACTAGAGGATGTTGGAGCGGTGGTTGTGAGAGCCAAAGTTGTTGTTGTATCAATAGTTTTTGTGGTGTCAGGCATAGTTGTGGTTGCTGCTTTAGTTGTTGATGCTGGTGCTATAGTTGTCGATGTCAGAGGTGTGGTTGTCAAAGCCAAAATTGTTGTTGCATCTGTTATTGTTGTGGTGTCAGAAAAAGTTGTGGTTGTTGCATCAGTGGTTGACATTGGAGGGATGGTTGTGGAATCCAAAGTTGTTGCTGCATCAGTAATTGTTGTGGTGTCAGACAGAGTTGTGGTTGATGCATCAGTGGTTGACATTAGAGGGGTGGTTGTGGAATCCAAAGTTGTTGTTGCATCAGTAGTTGTTGTGGTGTCAGACAGAGTTGTTTTTGATGCATCAGTTGTTGTTGACACTGGTGCTATTGTTGAGGGTGTTGGAGGGGTGGTAGTGGTAGCTAAAGTTGTTGTTGCATCAATAGTTTTTGTGGTGTCAGACATAGTTTTGGTTGCTGCTTCAGTTGTTGACATTGGTGCAATACTAGAGGATGTTGGAGCGGTGGATATGAGAGCCAAATTTGTTGTTGTATCAATAGTTGTTGTGGTGTCAGGCATAGTTGTGGTTGCTGCATCAGATGTTGATGCTGGTGCTATAGTTGTCAGTGTCAGAGGTGTGCTTGTGGAAGCCAAAATTGTTGTTGAATCAGTTGTTGTTGTTGTGGTGTCAGACAGAGTTGTGGTTGATGTATCAGTTTTTGACATTGGCGCTACAGTTGAGGATGTTTTAGGAGTGATTGTGGAAGCCAAAGTTGTTGCATCTATCATTGTTGTAGTGTCAGGCTTACTTGTTGTTGCTGCATCAGATGTTGTTGAAGTTGGTTCAACAGTTGAGAATGTTGGAAAGGTGGTTGTGGTAGCCAAAGATGTTGTTGCATAAGTAGTTGTTGTGGTGTCAGGTAGAGTTGTGGTTGCTGCATCAGTTGTTGATGCTGGTGCTATTCTTGAGGATGTTAGAGTGGTAGTTTTGGAATCCAAAGTTGTTGTTGCATCAGTAGTTGTTGTGATGTCAGACAGAGTTGTTGTTGTTGCATCATTTGTTGACATTAGAGGGGTGGATGTGGAATCCAAAGTTGTTGTTGCATCTATAGTTGTTGTATTGTCAGTGAGAGTTATCATTTCTGCGTCAGTTCTTGTTGACATTAGTGCCACCGTTGAAGATGGTGAAAGGGTGGCTATGGTATCTAAAGTTGTTGTTGCATCATTAGATGTTATAAAGTCAGGCATAGTTGTTTTTCCATCAGTTGTCGATGTTGGTACTGTAGCTGAGGATGTTGGAGTGGTGGTTGTGGAAGCCAAAGTTGTTGTTGCATCAATAGTTGTTGTGGTGTCTGGCATAACTCTGGTTGCTGCATCAGTAGTTGATGCTGGTGCTATAGTTGGGGATGTTGGAGGGGTGGTTGTGGAAGCTAAAGTTGTTGTTGCATAAATAGTTTTTGTGTTGTTAAGCATAGTTGTGGTTGCTGCATCTGTTGTTGACATTGGAGGGGTGGTTGTGGAAGCCAAAGTTGTTTTTCTATCAATATTTATTGTGGTGTCAAGTATTGTTGTGGTTGCTGCATCAGTTGTTGAAGTTGCTGCTGTAGTTGAGGATGATGGAGGAGTGGTTCTGGAAGCCATATTTGTTGTTTCATCAGCAGTTGATTTAGTGTCAGACAGAGTTGTGGTTTCTGCATCAGTTGTTATTGATGTTGGTACTACAGTTGAGGATGTTGGAGAGGTGGTTGTGGTAGCCATATTTGTTGTTGCATCAGTAGTTGTTTTGGTGTCAGGTATAGTTGTGGTGGCTTCATCAGTTGTATACGTTGCAGCGGTGGTTATGGAAGACAAATTTGTTGTTGCATCAAAGTTTGTTATAATGTGAGACATAGTTGTGGTTGCTCCATCAGATGTTGATGATGTTGCTATAGTTGAGTATTTTGGAGAGGTGTTTGTGGAACCCAAAGTTGTTTTTGCATCAATAGTTGTTGTGGTGTCAGGCATAGTTGTGGTTGCTGCATCAGTGGTCAATTTTGGTGCTATAGTTGAGGATGCTGAAAACATGGTTGTCGTATCCAAATTTGTTGTTTCCATTATAGTTGTACTTGTATAAATTGTTTTTGATTGTGCTGTCGTGGTGTCTGTTGGATCCTTATTTGTTGTGATTTTGGAAATTAGTGTTGAGGTTAAATCTTGAGTTGTTGTTGTTGATTGCACATCTGTTGCTGTATAAGCCTCGGTTTCTGTAGTTGTAACTGATGTTGTGGTATAGACTGATGTCTTTCGACCTGATTTTTTTTCATTTTTTCCAAGTACTGTCGTACTTCCATAAACCATCCACCAGATACATACTGTGAAAAGAGATATTTCATTGATTTTTTTCTTATTTTTGAGTTATGATTCTATTGTTATTAGTCCTTACATGTTTTCCATATATTTTATCTTTAAAATGTTGTATTATGTAACATAAATTTACTCACATATGGTGAGGAAAGTTTTCCTTCTGCCATCATACCTATAAGTGAAGTAAATGACAACATAATTAGGTTTTGTTTTAATGTTTTCTTAAGACATATTTAATTTGACATGCAAAATATTGAAGAGCCTAAGGCCAGTGTCTTGTTTAAAATTTAATGTGTTTTTGATGGGGTTGAGAAGACTTTACGTAAGTTGAGTAAGTTTCTCCAATCAGCAGTCACCTAAGATCTCCAGAAAAACACTTTAGTTGTTTGATGTGACATCCATGTAAATACTTCTGGTGCGACTGGTAAGATGGTTTCACTCCCACATCAATAGAACAGATAAGAACAAAGAAAATAAAACCTGTTCTTCTGGTGTGGGAGATGCCCCAAAAAAGATCTTTGTTAACCATTTGTTTTGATCCCCAAAACCAGCCGTGTGACCCTTTGGGGCACGAGAAAAAGTCCAGCAAAAGCTGCATAAATATTTGGGTGCTGACTAAGATCAGACTGGCTAGTTTGCGTGCCTCAGTTTACCGCAAACCCGGGGCGCGTATCTCTGAG